AGAAACCCGACGAAGGGTCATGAACATAATTTTCCGATAGTCTGAAATAACATCACTTTTTTCTCCCCTGATGATGGGTTCACTCACCCAATATGTGAGTTAGACCCTATTCACCCTAGGGGAGGGTGTGCCTGTACCGCTCAGCGGGTAATACCGCTCACCCGATTTTCTCCACAACCATCGACTTGAAAATTTCTTTCTGTTCCTGATCATGAAGAATTTGATGATAGGATGTGATTGTCGGAAAAATTTCACTTTATTTACCACTTTAAATATGAAAAAACACGTAACGAAGTTTTGAGGTCTTTACAGTGCAAAATTTGTGGACTTGTAATTAAGGTTTTTGATAGTTTCAAACGCTGAATTCTCATATTAAACTGTGGTTATTCGATTCGTGGTACTTTCACGCGTAATTTGAGACCAATTCGAACTCAAAACTCCACTCATGTCAATAATTATCAACAATTTTGTTGACGCCGAGCGGAGCCGGTAATACCGCTCATAGGATCGGCCACGTAGTTGCTCGACAGCACTCGAGTACAGGTTAGGTTGGGGCGCGAGCGATACACGCAAAACCCTATGAGCGGCATTGGAATCGTGCCGAGCGGTATTACCCGACGGCGGGTAGTACCGCTCAATAGGCTCTCTCTTTTATTTTCAATCAATTTTGTGGATTCTAAGGAGAATTAGGCGTCTACACTTCGAGAATAACGAGTTCAATAGTTAAAGAAGTCTCACAAATACGTTTTTTATACTCAAGTTGAAATATAAAATATAAAACTGGCATTTCCCCTTAGGTGGGCGGTACAGGCACACCCTCCCCTATCTCAAAGAGGTTTAAATTCATTAATAGCAGCCCAGGAAAAAAAGAAAAAAAACATGTATATCATATTACTCAAATTATGGCTAAAAAAATGCCAGTCATATCCACAACTCTACTGAGCATTCCTCCCCAACTGTTTAGAACAGTTCACGATATTATTTTTTCCCTGTAGCATCAGCACGTCTCGTTTCAGCAATTGTCCAGCGTCTCCGAAGGGAATTCCAAATGTTTGTCCCGCTGTAATATTTATCTAATGGTTTCTGGTGTTCATAAGCAGTCTTATCACGTTGGCCTCATCAAATCCACCCATCAACCGCTGCCAGACATGCGATATTGAGGTGACCAAATGCATTTTGATGCAGCTGAAGCCGTTGCAGAATCATTTGTCGAAGAGACACTGAGGTTTCTGCTGGAGAATATTTGACACTTTGACTTTTTCATGTCATCATTTGAATTTTTCTGGGCATTAGTGTACCCTGAGGGCAGTTGAATGTCAATCTCCCCTCCATCAAATCCCTGACGACTTTTTCCCCCTTGATATCAAGTGCGAATAGAAACGATTAGTCAGTTTTCCGTTGGATGTTGGAGGAGACACTTCAACATGGGAATTGGGAGGATTATTGTGGTGATTTTCTGTGTCAAGTGCTTCTGTGGAGATGTCGCGGAGTCCAGAGATACCTGGATGGGCTCCAAGGATGGCTCCGGGGAGTATTGGAATGTAAGGACCTTTTAGAAGAGTCAAGATTTTTTTTATATTTAGAGGTTTTGGTTCTTTTAATGGGGGGAATCATTTTGGTGGGAGTTACAATGACCAGTGTGTGCGCGGGAAAATTTCCGGTGGAAAACACTTCACCCGATGATGTAATGGAAATGGTTCACGGAATTTTTGCGATGTGGATACGCCCATGGTTTCGTTGTGGAAAAATTTCTCCGGTTTTTTTATGTAACATTCGAGAAAATTGTCCGGTTTTATAGAAATTTTACCGGTTCTCTAGAAAATTACAGACAATTCTCCGGGTTTCCAGAAAATTTTCAGATTTCCTGGAAAATTCTCGAGGTTTGTAGAAAAATTCTCAGATTTTCTAAAAGATTCGAAAGCATTTTTCGGTTTTGTAGAAAATTTGAAAAAACCCTTCGGATTTTTAGAAAATTCCCCGGTTTTCTAGAAAATTAGAAAAAAAAATTTCCAGTTTTCTCCAAATTTTCCAATTTTCTACGAAAATTCTCCGGTGTTCTAGACAATTTGAAAAAACATTTCGGTTTCTTTAGAAAATTCTCCGGTATTCTAGAAAATTTGAGAACATCTTCCGGTTTTACTGGAAAATTTGAAAAAATTTTCGCAGATTTTCCTAAATAAACCTTACTCTCTTAGCAATTCGAATAAAGACGAGCATCCCACATACTGTAGCTACCAACGTAAAAATTTCTGGAAAATTCGAAAAAAATTCTGGAGAATTCTAACAATTCCGCGGATTTTGGAATGCTACAAAAAAGGTTTCCCATTGTCAAAAATATTTGGAGTGCTCTCAACAACTTTGCGGGAAATAAGGCTGTTTGTTCAAGAATAAAAACCATGGACGTATCGGCGAAAAATTACACGCAGAGAAAAATAGAAGACAAAATTTCTGTGCAACAGGATAAAATATCTTCATTTTTACGGATCTTGAAAAATTCACGTGCCGGCACCGCAAATTTTGCTGCAAAATATAAGAATTTTTCAGTGTAAATTCGAGAAAAATTCCTGTATGACGCAGCAAAAATTCCGGTGCTGGCTCGTGAAATTTTCCGGGTCCATCCAAATAAACCCATTTTATTTTGCTAGCACAGTAATTTTTCTCATGGTATTTTTTGCTCCATATTGTATCAAAGATGCAGCCATGCGCAGATTTTGCCATTTTTTGATTCGATACCTAAATTATGGCAGATTTGTCAAAATTGTCCCTAGTTTGGTCACTATACGCGACCCCGGGATTCCCCGCCGTGTTATTAGGCCCCAGCGATGCCAAATTCACTCTTTACTGCCTGAGCGCGTTCAGTGAGTTTCCGGCAACGTCGCGTGACGGGCGATTTCATTTAACATAGAAAAAAATAATTCATCCGTTGAAAATAATTTGTTTTCTTCATGAATTCCGTTAATGTTGTTCTAAAAACTACTATAATTTTTTAAACACTTCAATCGGAAACGTCAATTGAAGAAAAACGACGCGGTGCGGCATTTGTTTTCCCTCAAATAGTGATCAATCTAGGGTTAAATCAGTAAAACAGTTCAAGTGGATTCAGCCCTTAGCTGAGTTTTCGAGGAATATCTCCGAATCTACGAGAGATAACAAAATTTTCATAACTACCTTTTTTGTAGCCCTCAATTCGCCCTACAAAAAAGGTCATAACAAAAATTTCGCTATCTCCTTTAGATTTCGAGATATCAAGTCGATATCAAAATCGACTTGAACCGTTTTACCGCTTGGCTCCTGAAACATAACTTTCCAAATTTTCCTGGCAAATTAACTTTAGTCCCCAGTGTTTTTGACCGGAAATTCCCCCGTGCCCCGAGGAATCGAGGAAAAACCGAGTGTATAATTTCAGCCGAGATCATCAAGAGTCCAGAGATCCCTGGTGCAATCAGAAAAGCCAAAGCTCTCGGTCTGCTGTCCACCCGGAAGCTTCATGAACTCTTCCGAGACCATCGATTGCCTATCAAACACCTCAAAGCCCATTAGCGATCCCGAGGTGCCTCGGATTTTCCGAGAGAACCTGAAACCATCGGACAAAGGGCCACAGGATTTTCAAAGAGTCTATCGGATCCCCTGTAAAAATGGCTTTTACGAAATGTCGAGTAAAGCACCACTTTTTGACGTATTTTATTTGCTCGAGGATGGACGAATCTACCAGGACAATTCGAAATATAAAGTGCCAAATGCATTCCTGGGACATGATGAATTCTGCTTGAGCAGTTGGATGGGAGATAATGGCACATACACGAGGATCATTGCGTGCTATCCACCAGTGCAGAGGGAAATTCCCCTGGCTTACACCATAAGTCTTGTTATGTCAATGCCATTTCTCGCTGCAACTTTTCTCGTTTACGCTTTCTTGCCGGAATTGAGGAATATTCATGGAATGACCTTGATGCCCTATGTCGCATCGATGTTCTGGGGCTACATGGGACTCGTTGTTGTACAGTTTGGGGGTGCTTCCCCCTGGCATCACACAGGATTTTGCATATTTTCAGGTAATTTTTGGCCGGTTTTTCGATTTTTGGTATTGGGGTATTGGAGGGAGAGCTTTTGGTTTTTTTTTTGGGGATTTTCTAAAGTTTCTAGGAAAGTAATGAAGGGGAGTCAAGGATAAGTAGCGGATTATTTGTCAATTGCTATGAGGAATGACAGCAAAGTTACTGGGGAAAATTATCCAATCCGGAAAATCCTGCTTCCACTCCGACGAATACTTCCGCTCTATCTCATTTTTAAGACTGACACGAGACTTATTTACGATCTGGTAAAACCAAGGTTGGGTGGGAATTTAGCGACTCGATATATGACCGTCACATGACAGATGTAAATATGACGATTTCTGTCGCATGGCAATATGGATTTCGTCAGAGCTTAGTCAATATATTTTTGATGATAAATTGGCAATGATTCGTTGAATTCAACATTGCCTCAACGTTGGTGACCAACATTGGCCCAATGTTGGCAGCCAACATTACCCCGACACTGTCCCGACGTTGACAGCCAATATTGCCCCAACGTCAGTAGCTAATGTTGCCCCGACATTGGTAGCCAACGTTGATAGCCATTATTGCACCAACGTTGATCGCCAACATTAACTCAATGTTGGCAGTCTATATTACCGCGACATTGGTAGCCAACATTGACAGCCAACATTGTCCGGACATTTGTAGCCAGCATTATCCGAACGTTAACAGCCCACATTGTCCCAACGTCGGCAGCCGACATTATCCCGACATTGGTAGCCAACATTGTCCCAACGTCGGCATCCAACATTATCCCGACATTGCTAGCCAACATTGTCCCAACGTCGGCAGCCAACATTATCCTGACATTGCTAGCCAACATTGTCCCAACGTCGGCAGCCAACTTTATCCCGACATTGGTAGCCAACATTGTCCCAATGTCGGCAGCCAACATTAGCCCGACATTCGTAGCCAACATCGCCTCAACCTTGGCAGCCAACATTGCCCCAACGTTAAAATTTGTTGCCTTTCCCTGAAAATTACTTTCCAAAATTAAAAAATTTCGGATTAAACGAATAGAATGTTTCCATTCGGAAGCAAAATATGACGTCATTTGAATATCATATGACAGTCAGATTCACAATTCTCGATAAACCCAAACGATCCCATTTTGTCAATCCCCTATCAGGAAGATCATCTCGAGAATGCATTATGACGTTTCCCCGTAAATGATCTCCTAAAACCTGCCACAACCACCAAAAATGGTAATTTTCCCTCGACAAATACTCGCCTCCGCATTCCTAAAATTCCTAAAACACAAAAACCTCGACGTGCTATTTTTCGTGTGTATGTTGCTTCAGCATGACTGCACCTTTCACCGCATCAATTAACGCTTGAGCGCCATGCTACCATAGAGCAGCCACTTGCCATGCTGGGCGCGCTGTCAAACTCGTCTGTTACGTATTCCGTCTCGACCCACGAAAATTTAGCAATGCAAATTGTCGTCTACGCGTAGACCACTTGAGAAGGTCAAACCGATGCTGATCCGTTTAGAATGGCATTCCGGGAGTTCATTCAAAACATTCACAAGTTGTGTTGCATGGGTTTTTCTTATTGTGGAAAATTCAATTCATTAGCGAACAATTGAAATCCAACACTTAAATTTTTACGATTAAAAAGCTTCCATCCGGAAGCAAAAAATAGAAAAATTCATGGGAGAAATTTTTTTCGTATTTTTTTGACATCCCATCGGCCTAAAAAAAAGAATGGGGGACATTTGCGATGCCTGATCGTTGGGTCAAATCGTGTGGGTAGACACGAAATGCCACTGCCTCATGTCCCCCATGAAAAATGCGAAAGCAATTCCGAAGAAAGTGAATGAAATGTCAACTCCCTGTTCCCTCACGTGCGTGGGTCCACGAAACTTTTTCTATTAATACCCATTAAATGTACATTCATCCCAGCCTAAATGGAATTTACACGACGACTGAGTGATTTATCGCCTCATTGTCACCGTTAGATATTGATTTGTAGAATCGAAAGCCGGAGCAGAACGAATAAATCGCGCAAGTGAGTGATGTTTTATTTTTTTCCCAATGAAAAAAATTTTTAAAAAATCTCTCCAGGTCGCGCGTGTTCATCGCTCCCACCCATTTCGCCCCCCTAATTCTCTGTTAGTTCAAATAATAGAATTATGTTCTCATTATTTGCTCGACAACGGAAACACGTAGCGAAACTTGGGAGTGACTTCCGTGAAATCCACTTCCCGCAAACTCTCAAATTCACGTGCTCATGTTGTTTCTTGGTAGAACTCTGGGTAATCGCCTGGATTACCAGCTTCCGGACGATTCAAAATGGCGGATAACGATTTTACAGTACATGATGTATGCGCGCGCTCTCGCGCGTGCTGATCTATTCATTTGTTGACATGAAGAAATGGAATTCATTAAATTTCATTTTCTCGTGAATACCTTATAAATATTGATAATGAATCAAAGAGAATTCGATTAATGATTGAAGTCAATAGCGAAGTAGAGTAAAAGAATCTATAAAGAACTTTTCATTTTCAATTAATTATCTGCAATTTTTTTAAATAATCGGTCTCCATAAAAGGACAAAATTTATTAATTTCACCGATAATCGGGGAGGATGGGGCAAAACGGTCCCCCTTCAATCGTCAATATTTTCCGATTCAATAATCCGATTGGGATGAGTTAGAGCTCGTTTTGAAGAATGAAAAATTATCTTCAAAATGAAGTTGAAACTGGGAATTTTCACAATGTCATTCACAAGTTATTGACAATTGAAGGGGGGCCGTTTTGCCCCACCCTCCCCTATATATACATGTGAAATATATATATTATATATATATATGACGTGAAAAAAAAATTTACCTCTGAAGAATTTGAAATTATGTCACTGAAGAATTTGAAAATGCCACGTGTTTTTTTTGTGAATAACTTCGTGTCACATATTGACCAATCGGAATTAAGGATTAACGGTCAGGCAGTGTCGAGATATTTCGATATAAAACAACTTCACGTTTCTTTCATCTTTAGTAAATAGGAAACCTGCATGCAGAGTGTGGGGTCAGTAGTAACCCCAGTGCTTGTCCGGAAATATTACCGCTAAAACAGTCTCATTTCCATATTTTTTACGACTCGGTTTTATCTATTGATTTTCCAAACGATTCAATCTGGGGTCTGCGATGACCCCATTTGATGGCCAGGGAAATTTCCCCTCCAAAACCCTGGTCATAACCCCATTTTGCCCCGCAATTTTCCGAAATATCGAAAAAAATGTTGTTCAGCCTAAAATCGAGTTTTTCTCAACTATGAGCCACCAACTGGGGCAAAATGGGTTGATGACCAGTGTTTCGAAGCGGAAATTTCCCTGCCCGTTAACCGGGGTCACTATCGACCCCCAATAGTGAAATAAAAAATAAATCTTCGTGACACTTTAATGAAAATTCCCTCGGAATAATTGATCACCTCCAACTGATGCATTAATCCATCCCCATTTGTGCATGCCCCATTTAAATCCACTTCCCCCGCGCTGTTTGTGTTTTCATTCCCACTCGGATGAAAAAAAAATCTCGAGAATTCAATTTGCTCTCAACTCGAGTGCGCTTTGTTTCCGAGGATTTATGTCCCGGAAGTTCCAGATAAGACTCCTCCTCTTCGTATTCAGACACGAAATCTGGGGTCAAAAGCGATCCGGGGGGATAGCCAGGATAATTTCCACTGAAAAAATCTGGCTGACGACTCACTTTGCCCCATTGTAAAAATTATTGGATTCATTGATTATCGGAATTCGGGTCAGAATCTCAGTGGAATACTTCGGGGTGACGAAATTTTCGTAAAAATTGATTATCGAATTTGGGGTCGATAGTGACTCCATTGGATAGCCCGCAAAATTTCCGCATCGAAATACTACTCATGAACCCGTTTTGCCCCACTAATTAAAAAAATATCGCAAAAATCAATTACTATGTCTGGGGTCGATAATGACCCCATTCGATAGCCCGGAAAATTTCCGTTTCAAAACACTACTCATAGACCCGTTTTACCCCATTAATTAAAAAATATCGAAAAAAATTGATTACCGCATTTGGGGTCGATAATAATCCCATTCGATAGCTCAGAAAATTTCCGCATCGAAACACTAATCATGAACCCGTTTTGCCCCACTAAATGAAAAATATCGAAAAAAAAAATTGATGACCGTATTTGGTGTCGATAATGACCCTATTCGATAGATCGAAAAATTTCCGTTTCGAAACACTACTCATAAACCTGTTTTGCCCCATTAATTAAAAAAATTTCGAAAAAAATTGATTACCCTATCTGGGGTCGCTAATGACCCCATTCGATTAGCTCGGAAAATTTCCGCATCGAAACCATACTCACGAGCCCATTTTGTCCCTCAACTTTTCGACCCCTCGCAAAACCAAATTCAAAAAACCACTCGGGGCAAAATGGGACAGCCCTAAATTCTCCCCAAATATTCCCGTCAATCGACCAATCCCCTTATCGTCCCGCCCCCAACTAAAAACCGTGTTATCACAAAAACCCCCTTATCACTGAAATTAATACCCCCCGTGATAATTGAATTTCTCATGGGACCACTTCCCCTCAATCATCTGATATCCACCTCCTCTCAGCTTAATTAACCACCCGTCAACGCCCATTATCCGCACGCCACGATCAGTCTCACAATATCCACAAGATGTTGAAACATAACTAAGAATAATGAAAAAAGTAATAATTAAGATAGTCATAAAAAAATCAATAATCACGAGCTGCGGGTTGTGATAGTAGTTCCGCTTCATCCGGCGTTTGATGCACGCTGGGTTGACCGCAGAGGGGCCTTCAGGGGGACCGGACGGCGTTAACCAACAACTTTAGTCTGACGGAAACATCGAGAGGATAAACATCGCGATGATCGAGACATTTTTTTGGACTTTCACAATATTTCTGACACTGATTGCCACACAATCCCCATCATGGGCCGCGCTACTTCCCGGTGAGGAGAACTGCCCAGCAGCAGCACTGATCTATCCGGACGACCTTGCCGTCACAAAAATTGGCGACCTTGAAGACCTTGACGACCTTGGGTGGCCTAGGGCCCAAAATTTTACCGGAGAGAATTCAACGGATGCGAGTGTGACATATTCAGAGACCACTTACGAGACTGTAAGGGCTAACGGCACGTGCCCTTGTCTCTCAAGGTCATGCATCGCCATGTGCTGCCCTCAAGGTCACGCGTTGCGCGCGAACCAGTGCGTGAGGTGGGAGAAGGTCGAAAAGGTCAGATACCCTCGGATATTCGACGCTTTGACCTTAAAACCTTCGAAATTGGATTTGAATGATGAGTGGGAGGGTCTCAATGGGTCCTTCCATGTGTTCGAGTGGGACCCCTGTCATGGCGGACTGAAATGGCGGCTGGACCCCACGGTCAAAGCGGACGAGTTCAAATTGTTGGATAATGGGTCGGTTTACACGGTTCACGATCAGGGAATGATAGGGTTTGAGGACTATTGTTTGGCGTTTGTTGACGGAGATATCTTAAGTGTAGTTCAGTGTTTTGATATGGATTATGAGGCTGAAGAGGATGATGTTAGTTCGGGACTGAAGATGGCGGCGTTCATGCCCATTGGACTGATGCTGTCTGTGCCGTGTTTGATTGCTACTTTTGTTGTGTATTCGGTACTGCCTGAGCTGGATAATATGCACGGGATGATATTGAGGGCTTATGTGGGACAGTTGGGACTGGCGTATACGCCCTTGACGATATTGAAGGTCGTACCGGCGGTTTCACAGAATCAGGACACCTGTGTTGCTTTTGGTAATTCGATGATTTTCGGAATTTGGCGGTGAGGGGATTATGAGGGGGGGGGGAGAACTTGGTTTTGGGGTTTAATGGTTTGGGGGTGGTTGGGGATTTTTGGGGATGGGGATTGCGGGGATAATTTAAGGGATAGGGATGGGGTACTGGGTAGGGATGAGAGGGTCAAAAAGTGGTGGAAAAATGTTTTTTTTTAGTTTGAAGGTTTGAGAGTCAATGAGGAATTTTGGGCATGGGGGTTTTGGGGATAATGTGGGGGCTGGCGTATACGCCCTTGACGATATTGAAGGTCGTACCGGCGGTTTCACAGAATCAGGACACCTGTGTTGCTTTTGGTAATTCGATGATTTTCGGAATTTGGGGGTGAGGGGATTGTGAGGTGGGGGAGAACTTGGTTTTGGGGTTTAATGGTTTGGGGATTTTTGGGGATGGGGATTGCGGGGATAATTTGAGGGATAGGGATGGGATACTGGGTAGGGATGAGAGGGTCATAAAATGGTGGAAAAATGTTTCTTTTTTAATTTGAAGATTTAGGAGTGAATGAGGAATTTTGGGCATGGGGATTTTGGGGATAATGTGAGGAATAGGGATGGGATGCTGGGTAGGGATGAGAGGGTCATAAAATGGTGGAAAAATGTTTCTTTTTTAATTTGAAGATTTAGGAGTGAATGAGGAATTTTGGGCATGGGGATTTTGGGGATAATGTGAGGAATAGGGATGGGATGCTGGGTAGGGATGAGAGGGTCATAAAATGGTGGAAAAATGTTTCTTTTTTAATTTGAAGATTTAGGAGTGAATGAGGAATTTTGGGCATGGGGATTTTGGGGATAATGTGAGGAATAGGGATGGGATGCTGGGTAGGGATGAGAGGGTCATAAAATGGTGGAAAAATGTTTCTTTTTTAATTTGAAGATTTAGGAGTGAATGAGGAATTTTGGGCATGGGGATTTTGGGGATAATGTGAGGAATAGGGATGGGATGCTGGGTAGGGATGAGAGGGTCATAAAGTGGTGGAGAAATTTTTTTTTTATTTGAAGATTTGGGAGTGAATGAGGAATTTTGGGGATAATGTGGGGGATAGCGATAGGGATGGGGATATTCGGGGGCATTCAGGGGTTTTGAAAGGAGTCATTGAGGAGGGGTCTGAGGTTTTTTTTTAGTTGATGATCCTTGATGGGATGAGGATTTTTGGGGATGGGGATTACGGGGATACCGTAAGGTATGAAGATTCGTGGCGGAATGGGGATATTGAAGGTTGTGCCGGCAGTTTTCAGAACCAGGACAACTGTGTTGCTTTTGGCAATTCGATGATTTTGGGGATGGGGATTGGAGATGAGGGGTTTATGAGGTGAGGGAGAACTTAGGTTTATGATTTGATGATTTCGGAGTGGTTGGGGATTTTTTGGGAAATGGCGATTGTGGGGATAATGTGAGGGATAGGGATGGAGATATTGGATAGGGGTAAGAGGGTCATAAGGTGGTGGAGAAATGATTTTTATAATGTAGGGGATGGGGATAGGGATAATGTAGGGGATAGGATATTCGAGGGGGACTTGAAAGGTGTCGATCGAGGAATCATTGAGTAGGGATCTAAGTTTTTTTTTATTGAGGATTTGTGGCGGGATAGGGGTGGGAAATTTTGGGGATGGGGATTGGGGTGTAGGGATGAGGAAGCTATGAGGTGGGAAAACGTTTTTGTGGTGATTCAATTATTTGGGGGTGATTGGGGATTTTCAGGGATGGGGATGGGGATTTGAAGTTTATTGCTAAATAAGGATGTCGTTCATAAATTTTTTCGAGAAGTCGGAGCATGTTGTAGAATTTAATAATTTAAACTGGCGATGGGGATTTTCCGGGATAAGATGAGAGATGGGGATGTAAAATGGGGATGAAGCAATCATGTATTCACAAGAACTCCACTTTCACTTTAATAATTTATCGATTTACAGCCGGAATGGGGCCGAAATTTTCCAAGTTGGGGATGGGGATGGGGATAGATCAGAATACGGGGATCTAAGGCGACCAAATTGCAAGGGGAATTAGTGAATAAAGGGGAAAAGTTGCGGTTGAACAATTTTCATGACCATTTCCAATTGAGAACTTTATGAGATAGAGGAAAAAGAAGCAACAATTTCTCCTGCATGTAGCTTCACAACTTGAGGAGTTGCGAAAGTTATCGTCTTCTTTTTAATTTCAGGGACAATCTTCCTGCCTCGCCAATGTGGCAAGCTTAAACCCTCTACCTCGTCAGGCTCTCAAGCGGCTAGTACTAAAAGTTGTGAATAAACACAATTCATCTTTGTTTCAGCCTTCATTATCCACTTCTCGTTCCTCTCGTCCTTCTTCTGGCTCAATGTCATGTGCTTCGATATATGGTGGACCTTCGGGTAAGTCCAAAGCATGTGTTTATTTTCTTTTAGATAAATAGATACTCGAAAAAAAACTTCATCACGTGATTATACATACGTTTTATTATTGATAATGATGATAATCCGTACAGTTTTTATTCTATTATTTATAGAATATTTAATAAAAGGTGAAATTGTCCGGGTATTGGCCCGAGTCCAGCTATTGGGCTGTTCACCGTATCGGTTTCAAAATAATTTTTTTCAACAACAGATGATGCAATTAATCTCATGGTCGAAGGAAAAACTATTGCCTTGATTTTAAAAAACTTCAATCGGTTCAATTCACTCTTAATTAATTGAATTCGAATTAATTTACGTGATTGATGCATTCAATCATTTTCATCAATCGAAGAAAATCCTAAAAAATCAGTTTCAAATTGTTCAAAATATTTTTAAAAAATTAAGCGAAAAATGTAATTCATTTTTTTTCTATAAATAATGAATCATAATAATGTGAAAATTTTTGGAAATTATGATAAATTGATTTTTAATTGGTGACAAGGGAGAAAAAGGAGAAACGGGATTGTTACTTATATTGGAACAATTACAAAGCTTCCTTTCGGAAGCAACAATTATCGCGGGGTATAAATTAGCGATTTAGCTCACTCGTTCCACGACCGCAAGTTATTTCCTTAGCGCAGAACAATGGAAATGGCCTGTGGCTACGATAAACCCGTGAGTTATTCCTGGAAGTTATATCGAGTGACCCACATTGTTTTTTTGTGAATAAATAACATAAAAAAGATCGATGGAGATCCTGACCATCTGCGAAAATTGGGGATTAATTTTTTCTCTTTTTTTGTCACCCTCGTCTGATAACTTCGATTAAATTCCCATCTGGGGGGCAATGTAAAACAGATAAAACATGGATTATAATTTTTTTTTCAGTGCAAAAAATTTATTTATTAAATAAATGAAATAATTGGAAGAAATTATGTTTTACTTCAATACACTTTTTTAAATAAAAAATTAATGAAAGGTAAATTCTGCCATATTTTCTGTAGATGGAAGAATGTTTGGAAATAAATATTTGTGGGCCCATTTTTTCAATGCAAATAATGGAAAATATATCTAATTTTTTTCAACGACCAGGAGCTCAAAGGCCAAATAATATATTTTTGATATGAATGCGCTAAAGTAGTTTTTGGCCTTCCCAAGGGTGAAAGAACACTTCTCCCACGAGTGTCGAACGCTATTAGTAATCGTCATGCGGAAAATGGCATTTTGGGCACAAGTGATAAAATAGTATATTTCGATACGAGTACATAAAACTATTTTTTGCCCCGTGAGAGGTATGGAGCGCTCGCCGAAGGCGAGTGCTATTCTCCCAAAGGTCAAAGAACACTTTCCCCCCAAGTATCGAACCGTATTTTCCATCACCATGTGTCAAAAGTCGCATTTTACGCACAAGTGATAAAATTAGTATATTTCGATACGGGTACGTAAAAGTGATTTTTGACCCCTGGGAGGTGTGGGACGCACGCCGAAGGCGAGTGCTACCCTTTCAAGGGTCACAGAAGACTTTCCCCACGAGTGTAGAATCCCATTTTTCATCACCATTTATGACAAGTCGCATTTTATGCACAAGTGATAAAATTAGTATATTTCGATACAAGTACGTAAAAGTGTTTTTTGACCCCTGGGAGGTATGGAGCGCTCGCCGAAGGCGAGTGCTATTCTCCCAAAGGTCAAAGAACACTTTCCCCACAAGTATCGAACCCTATTTTTCATCACCATGTGTGAAAAATCGCATTTTACGCACAAGTGATAAAATTAGTATATTTCGATACGAGTACGTAAAAGTGTTTTTTGACCCCTGGGAGGTGTGGGGCGCACGCCGAAGGTGAGTGCTACCCTTTCAAGGGTCACAGAAAACTTTTCCCACGAGTGTAGAATCCCATTTTTCATCACCATTTATGACAAGTCGCATTTTACGCACAAGTGATAAAATTAGTATATTTCGATACAAGTACGTAAAAGTGTTTTTTGACCCCTGGGAGGTATGGAGCGCTCGCCGAAGGCGAGTGCTATTCTCCCAAAGGTCAAAGAACACTTTCCCCACAAGTATCGAACCCTATTTTTCATCACCATGTGTGAAAAGTCGCATTTTACGCACAAGTGATAAAATTAGTATATTTCGATACGGGTACGTAAAAGTGATTTTTGACCCCTGGGAGGTGTGGGACGCACGCCGAAGGCGAGTGCTACCCTTTCAAGGGTCACAGAAGACTCCCCACGAGTGTAGAATCCCATTTTTCATCACCATTTATGACAAGTCGCATTTTACAAGTGATAAAATTAGTATATTTCGATACGAGTACGTAAAAGTGTTTTTTGCCCCGTGGAAGGTGTGGGGCGCTCGCCGAAGGCGAGTGCTGTTCTCCCAAAGGTCAAAGAACACTTTCCTCACTAGTGTCACGAACCCTATTTTTTATCACCGTGTGGAAAGTGGCATTTTGCGGACAAGTGATAAAAACAATTTTTTGCTGCTGCAAAAAGAATTTTTTTTTAAATCTTCCAATTGTTTTCACGCATCTCCATGACTGAAATAGCCCGAATAATTAATTCTGTCGTACTTATAACCCCTCCATTCACAAAACCACGTAGAACAAATGCATGTCGCCTGCTAACCTTCCGCCAGAGCTTACGTTTTATTAATTCCCATTTAATTAATTCAAACTTAATCCCCCGGATAAGATAATGCCCACAACATACGGCTGAAGGTGATAATGATGGACGTGATGTGACACGCACCGGATGACTAATTTCTCTCGTCTGGTTTTTCCTCGCTAACAATTCAACTGAATATCAAACAGTTATTACATCAGCGATTGAAATAATTTATGTGAATTCCCGAGTCATTCTTCTGGGGTCGAAAGTCACCCCACTGGACGGCCTGATAAATTTTCGTCTCCAAACCCTGATTATGAACCTGTTTTGCCCCGCCAGTTTGTAAGTAGCGAATAAAAAACTGTTTTCGCTCGAGTTTTTGTTTATTTCGTAACTTGAGAAGTAGTGGGGCAAAATGGATTCATGGCCAGGGTTTGGAGATGAAAATTTTTCTCGCCAGATGATGGGGTCATTTTCGACCGCGGATTTTCGAAACGAGAGCGTTTTTACTTTTTTATTTTGAAGAATTTCTTGGGTTTTGGATTTAAAAAAAATGTGGATTATTTTGCGCGGCTTAAGGGGTATTTATTAGACTCCTTTGTGACACTCGACAACAACTAAGTTGACCTCAGCTCTTGGAAATCAATACACAACCGCTGTGTGATTATTACTGCCTCTGCAGTCCTCCCACTCCTCTCACTCGCGGAAACTGCTAATTCTCTCTTACTTCTGTCTATTAATCGAGTTATGAAACGATTTGCGGAAATCCCAGACTTCTGAATATCGTTGGGAGTTGCTGAGAACTCGTAACGGGGAGTAATTCATTTATCTAATTGGGGTAATGATTTTTTAACAATTCTTGTCTTAATTCTGCGAAAAGTTGAGTCAATGGTGAATTGAATAACAAACGAATGTTGAAAATTTAGTTACTGTAGGTCTTTTTGGGTACAAAATTATTTTTTAAAACATTATTTTATAATCTTTATTGATCATTATTTTATTTTTTATTTTATTTTAAAAACTTCTTTAAACGTCGAAGGATTGTTTAAAAGTTTGAAAAAATATATAACGAACTTGGAAATGTATCGAGTGATGGAGGAAAAACATTTTTTGCATTCTAAAATAATTTTTTCAGTATTATAAAATAGTTTTTTTGAAATTTTAAAAAACTATTCTTCGAGTTTCATCAAGAAATAAACTTGAATAAATTTATTGAATCCATAAAAAATTGATTTTAAAATATCTAAAAAATATAGACTCAAAAGAAATTTTTTATTCAATTGAGAAAAATCAATTAGTCTAGTGGATTAAAGTTTTATTGTTTATCCCTATAGGAAATGGCCTTCCAAAAAAATTGTTTAAACCGCGAAGAATTATTTAAAAGTTCAAAAAAATATTATGAACTTGGAAATGTATTGAGTGACAGGGAAAAAACATTTTTTCCATTCTCAAATATTTTTCCAACATCAAAGACTTAATTTCTTAATTTTTTAAATATTCTTCAATTTTTATCGAGAACTAAACTTGAATAAATCCATTAAGGCCCGGGTGTACTATTTTTTCCAACGTTATCTCAATGTTTTTTTTTTTCATCTTTCGTCATGTAAAATTGTCAATTAAGTCCTGCATCATGCAGAAGTTTTAAAAAATTATAAATGAATAATAAAAAAAAGTAGAAAAAATTCTTAATTTTTTCAAAGAGCATTTTTAATTTATATTCAGAATAAGTTGAATAACAAGAAATTGAAAAATGTATCTGATTTACGGTGACAAATGGCGGACTGTCACCCAATATCATGCAGGGGGAACTGATTTCGTAAATCTTTTCCGACACTGCACAGAGACATTTATTACGGAAAAGGCTCATTGAAAAAAGTTGTAATATTTTGGAGAATTTTTTAATCACACGTTTATCACATAAAAATGGCAAATAACTACATACCACTGTTTTAAAAATTGAGTGTTAGTGTTTTGTTATCCACCATGGAAAATGACAGCTAATAGATAATTTGCCACAGCGAGTCAGATATTTGTAATTTCCACTTTTTTCAACTCATTCTGAATCTCAATTAAAAACGCTCTTTGAAAAAGTTCAGAATTTTTTCTATTTTTTTTCATCACTATCATAATTTTTGGGAATTTCTACATGATGTACCACTCAATTGACAATTTTGGATTACGAAAGATAAAAAAAATCCAGATAACATTCGAAAAATAGTACACCCGGGCCTTGACTCGACTTATCTCCCAGTTGAGTTTTTGAGGAATATTTCCGAATCTAAGGGAGATAGCGAAATTTTCGTATTTACATTTGTTGTAGCTCTTAATCAGCTCTACAAAAAAGGTTATAATAAAAATTTTGCTATCGCCCTTGAATTTCGAGATATTCATTAAAAACCACTCAATTGACAATTTTGGATTACGAAAGATAAAAAAAATCCAGATAACATTCGAAAGATAGTACACCCGGGCCTTAAATCAATTAAAAATTGTTTTAATCAATAAAAAAAAAATATCGTGACCCTGGGAGCACATTTGTTAGTACTGCACAAACATTTTTAATTGAAGAATTTTGTTTTCGGTGGAGAAAAGCCAATTAGTCTAATGGATTACTGCAGAAAACAGCAAAAACATGCAATTTCTTCTTGCGTTTTGCGAGATTAATTATGGTCAAAAGCTTACAGTTGGCAATAACAACAGAAATATTATACACATGCAACAGCGCGCGTCGTTGTCCTCGCCCGTCGGAATTCTATCCCCATGTGTGCTCTTGGTAAACGTTCCCGTCGCGCCCAAGTTGACACGAGATGACTATTTCCTCACGTCTCTCTAGTTCTCATTTATCGCTCGTCCTCTCCTCTTGAAAGGTTTTCACGTCCTCGTAATGAATATCCAGACGATAAATAACGCACAGTGAAGATGACAATTGCGTAAACAAATGCGTAATCATCATCAAAAAAAGAGAACGTTTATATTTCAGTAGCGAACTCGTAAAAGGAGATGAGTCAATTTTGACTATTAACGGTTTTCAATCAATATCTCAGAATCTAAGGGAGGTAGCAAAATTTTCGTAATTACATTTGTTGTAGCACTCAGTCGGCTCCACAAAAAAGGTTATAAGAAAAATTTCGCTATCTCCCTTAGATTCCGAGATATTGATTGAAAACTGGTCAATAGTCAGAATTACTTTTCTCCTCTTACCACTTCGCTACTGATTTCATACTTTTTTTTTGAAGAAACGAAGAAAAAGCTCAATACATGAGAAATTCTTCAATTCATATCTATTTTATAATTTTTCAGTGCTATAATTTTTATATTTATGTATATTTTATATTTTTTCGGTTATTTTACAAAAATGATTCAAAAATCGTGTAGAGACGGGATAATGACGTCACATCTCCCTATACTTCGGAGTTGAGTCACTACGAGGCGCTGCTTGCACTCCAGTGACAAAAATAAAGTGAGGTTAATCGTGGGGGATGATCAAAATAAATCAGAAATAAATCGTTAGACTTTTATCGCGAGTTAAAGCGCAATTCGACACCAATTCTGAAATAACCAAATATCAAAGTTGAGATAAAAATTCAATTGGTGCTTGAATATATTGTAAAGTCGAGAATGTTTGAAGTTTCTAACTCCCAAGCGATCACATATTCAATTGTTAAGAATTTTTGCATCCCCCTGTCATAGGGACAGGTCTTCAAATAAATAAATAAATAATTGAAAAAATATTTGAAAATCCGATCGGTCATAAAATTAGTAAAACCATAAAAATTGTACAATACAGTTAATTGATTTTGTATTCAACGAAATAATTTTATCCCAACATTATGATTATGCCGATCCCGGAATTTCAGTTTTCCGTAATGTTTGGTCTCAGGGTCGCCGAGTCTTTCATGTCGCCCCGCAATTGGCTGGCAAACGCGGGGAGAACGGCCCGGGGATTCCCCGGGTAACGCGATCCTCACGGCCACAAAATTCGTGTCCAATTACCCCACCACAAGTGGACGTTTTAATTTGTTTCTGACCCCTCACCATTCCCCGATATTCAACACGAAATCAGGAAAATTAATGTAGGAATTGTATCCAATTATTTCGCCCAAGAATTTTCCAGTGGAATTTTACGTATTTGATCAGACAACAACACAAACCCACAAGTTCAAAACAATTCAGTAACGAATTGGTAAAACGGTATAAGTCAATTTTGACTATTGGCCAGTTTTCAATGAATATCTCGGAATTTAAGGGAGATGGAAAATTTTTGTTATCACATTTTTTATAGAGCCGATTGAGAGCTACAACAACTGTAATTACGAAAATTCACTTAGATTCGGAAATATTCTTCAAAAACTCAACTGGGAGATGAGTCGAATTAAAGTAGCTCTACCCTTCGGCCGGGCTACGCTGTACTTTTGAATATTTTCAGTTTTTTAATTTTTCAACTAAACTGCATGGAAAAAATTTGAAAAAATTCATACCCAGTCAGTATTATCTAAATCAAATTTCGCAAAATATTGATATTTTTTCAAACATTTCCCTCTTATAAATAAATCATAAAACTTGTTTGCAAAACGGTGGATTATTTTTTATGAGGTGTCAAAAAAATTCTTGATTTTTTCACATCTAATGAAAAAAAATCAGATTTTAATCTTTGATTACAATGGAAATGTTGATTTTCACATAAGACACTGGGTTAAATCCTGATTTTTAAGCATTTCTTCTTTGAAAAACCAAAACGATAATTAAATTGAGAAAAAAATTAGAATTCCGAATCTAATCGAGTTTTCTGCAATTTTTTGCAGTTTTCAATAATCTTTCAATTTACCGTAACGGTAGAGCTACTTTAACTTATTAAATAAATTGTGGCCTAAAAAAACGTGAAAAGTTTTTTCGCGTTTTCTCAGAAACTATTGGGCCAAAACGGATCATTCGCCTCTGAAATTCAATTTTCCTATTTTGAAAGTGAAATGAATGAATGTTTCGTTTTGTTTCCTCAAACTAAATCACTCTTTATTTCGATTCAGTCTCTCAATTTGCATTTGACTATTCATGAAAAGTTTATGAGTCGGACGTTCAGCAGTGAAAATAAATTCCGAGGAATTTCAAAACTCGAAGGAATGCTCTTGACGTACGGGTATTTGACGGATAAATTATGAGTTATTTATGAGTCAATGGAACGGTTTGTTTTGGTGGAATAATGTGTGTGAGGGAATCGACAAAATCGTGCACAACTCGATTACGTGACTTGGAAATGATTTTGTGGATATTATTGTAACTCGGGTAATGTCGGGGTTGTATTATCAGCGGGTGTACGTGCTAATGATGAGTATTGAGCCTCAATTACTGGTGTAAATCATGATTGTGAGAGTTGAAATGGTTTCTGTTTACTACATGATGAAAAAGTGAGGAGAGCGAGAGTTCGGGCAACGGTTGGAGCGAAGAGTCATGAGGGTCGGGATCGTAAGGGTCAGAATCTTATATATTTCGTATTTAAAAAGGTGAAAGATATCTGTCACGGATAAGGGTCACGAGACCTAGAAGAATGATTTCAAAAATTTTGTAAAAAAAATAATCGCACCCGAACAGTTGAGGGGGGCCGAGCCCCCCTGGGCTGGTGAGGGGGCGAAGCCCCCTCGTTATGTGATATTTTAGTAAACGGAAGAAAATCGAATAACAGAAATATAGATTCGGAATATAAAACCATCGAAAACTATATATTTTCTATTAATAGAATTTACAGATAGAAATTCCTGCAAAATTTTTCACGAATTTGCAGAAAAAATGTTATTTTCTCCTCTAGTGACAAAACAAATCTGTTTCATATTTTGAAAAAATTATATCCCGACAATGATTTAAAAAATTTCAGGGTGGGGGGGCTGAGCCGCCCGGACCTCGTGAGTGGAGCGAACAGGGGGAAAAACTCCAGAGGAAAAAATAAATAACGAAAATATACATTCGGAATAGAAATGACTTGAAAACATGACGACCAAATGATTGCGGAGGGGCTGAGCCCCCCCGGAACTCGTGAGTTAAGCGAACAGGGGGCAAAGGTCCCGAAGAAAAATTAAATAACAAAAATATACGCTTTAAATACAAATGACTTGAAAAATATATATTTTCAATTAATAGAATTAGCAGATAGAAATTTAAATGACATTTTTCAAGAATTTGAAAAATGAAAAAATATTCTTATTTCATCTAGAGACAAAATGAATCTGTCTTACGTTAAAAAAAAAAAATATATCCCCAGAATGATTAAAAAATTTCATTCACTCGCGACCGACCAGTTACGGGGGGGGGGGGCTGAGCCCCCCCCTGAACTCGTGAGTGGGGCGAACAGGGAGCAAAACTCAAAAGAAAAATTAAATAACGAAAATATGCATTCGGAATACAAATGACTTGAAAAATACATATTTTTAATTAATACAATTCGCAGCTAAAAATTAAAGCAACATTTCTCAAGAATTTCAAAAATGAAAAAATATTCTCGTTTCATCCAGTGACAAACGAAAATTGTTTCCCTTCTTAAAAAAAATACATCGAGAACTCGTTTCATTCTAATCTCCAATGACAAAAAATATTCTTCGCATTAATTTCTTAATAATCCCAAACTAAATAAAAAAAAATTGCATAAGTTCCACATTTTCCAAGACCCGAAAGAATGATGAAAAAAAATTTTGTTTACAAGCCGAAAAGCCGGACAAGTGGTTGAGCAAAACGGGTGAGTGGGTGGGTAATTAGGTATTCGAATTAATGCATCTAAAGCTAGTCACCTGCATCCCCACCCCAGCCCCTAGTGGAGCATTTTAGCTCGATTATTATTTAATCACTGTCAGCTGTTCGTTTTTTCCCAAAATCCACTTTCTCCCTGGATTTAATCCCCGAGCCATTTGTTACAGGGGCTTTCGCGCACTTCAGGGCAGTGTCAAGCAGCGGGAGAGAAAAAAATTCATCATCTACTCGGTGTATGCCTGGGGATCCGCATCACTCATCACTGGGGTCTGTCTCATCATGGATTTTGTCCCCAACATTCCTGATAGCTATATTAAACCGAGATTCGGGGAGACAAGGTGTTGGTTCCCAGGTAAATGAATAAATAAATAAATAAATGAATAAACAAGTGGGAAATTGCTCTTGTCTTCATATGCTATAGTTATTTTAGCTAATAAATTAGCAATATGCTTCCGAATGTTCATTTTGCACATCATTTTCTTCTACGGTATATAATTCATTGTTTATTCTGTTATTAAATTGAATGAGAGTTATTTTTAAACAATTGTGTCAGATTTTCAACTCAGCTGAGTGTTATCATTATTATTATTCTTGTTATCCCTTTCTTTCGTACAACCGATTGTCTTTTTTGCGGTCCTATCACTTCCCTCATCCCTTTGTTGCTTCACGGGCTGACATTCTCGTCCTAACTACGTGGCATTTACTTCAGGAGCTATATTTCCTGTTCACGTTTCGGTGTTTATATTTTCGTTCAACGGTTTCCTTGTCATTGAAATTGGCTTTTTTATCGGCTCTGCATTCCACAGGTTTGTCGTCTACATAAGCCACGTTTAGGCCGTTGTTGTCGATTATTATTAATATGTGATGGAAAATTCGAAATTCGCGAAAATCATCGTAAAAATAAAATCAACAGATATAGCTGTCGTAATTATCGTTCAACTTCGACAGTGTGGCATTGAAACTAACATTTTAAGCTATAATTGAATTCATTTGAAGCATGATATCTCAAGGTATCCCCGGAATTCCGATTTTCAAGAAATACAAAAATTTTGCAAATTTTTATGTAAATCAAAACAACGATTATTGCTATTGCCTTCATCTTCGAACTCGGTCTGAAGGGCATTCAAACAAATTTTTTCAGCCATCATTCAATGAATTCAGAACATTTTTTTAGTTATCGCGGAACGACCAATTTTTAAAAAAGTTCAAATTTTTTTAAAATTATTAGATGAATTAAAGCTTAATTAATGTAGATGCACAGGGATGTGACACAAAAAATCCGAAACTTAAATTTGAACGATTACAAAGCTTCCATTTGGAAGCAATAAATAAATAAATGAATAAATAAATAGATAAATAATTAAATAGATGAATGAATAAATAAATAAATGAATGAATGAATTAATAAATAAGTGAAATTGCTACAGACGATTCATTTTGCCCCCCTCGTTTTCTCGACATGAAATACACAATTTTGTCTTGAAAAAACAATATTTTTTTCACTATTCTGTATTGTTGTAATTCATGGGGCAGAATGGATCGTCATGCAGGGGCATTTGACTTTTAATGGTGTCACAATCGACCCCGAATTTTCCACTAGATGTAACTCCGGGAAGAATGAATCATTGAAATTGCTGAACTTGCTGAGTTTTATGTCTTTTCGCAGATGAAATTTCAAAGGCGGTGTACTTTTACGGCCCCATGGGTGTCACGGTCGTCTGCAATATCTTTCTGTTCATCTCGACAGCGCTGAAAATTCTACAGCACAAAAGAGACACTGCGACGCAGCTCAAGGGGATTGACAGTCGTCGACATGACGATAACAAGCAATGGTTCGTTAAATTTATTTTTCTCCCAATTTGTCCCGCCAGAAGTAAAAAAACAAGTGGGAAATTGCTCATGGATTGCATATAGCATAGTATTTTTGCTAATAAATTAGCAATATGCTTCCGAGCGGTTATTTTGCACACCATTTCTTCCTATCGTGTATAATTCAGTAACGAAGCGGTAAAACGGTTCAAGTCGACTTAGCTCTCTACTGATTTTTTTAGGAATATCTCCGAATCTAACGGAGATAGCGAAATTTTCATAATTAGCTTTTTCATAGATCTCAATTCGCTCTACAAACAAGCTCTTGACGAAAATTTTACTATTTGCCTTAGATTCCGAGATATTCATTGAAAACTGACCAAAAGCTAAAATCGACGTGAACCGTTTTACCGCTTCGCTACTGAATTCATTGTTTATTTCATTTTATTAGATTGAATAAGATTTCTTTTCAACTAATTTTGTCAGATTTTCAACTTGGTTGAATGTTATAATCATCATTATTCTTATTATCCCTTTCTTCTATACAATCGATTGTCTTTTTTACGGTTCTATCTCTCCCCTCAGCCCTTCGATACAATGTTAATAGAAAAATTTTATTTATACATACTTGAATGAATTTGAAACATCACATTTGAAGAAACCATCGGAAAGCTCACTTTCAGGGAAATTCATGAAAAATTCGAAATTTTCAACAATCATCATAAAAATCAAATCAACCAAGATAGCTATCGTAATCATCTTTCAACTTCGACTTAATGGCATTGAAACAAACATTTTAAGCTATGATTGAATTCATTTGAAGCATGATATTCAAAGATATCCCCGGAATTCTGATTTTCAAAAAATACAAAATTTTTGCAAATTTTCAAATAAATCAAAATAACGATTATTGCTATCGCCTCATCTTCGAACTCGGTCTAGAGGACATCCAAACAAACTTTTTAAGCCATCATTCAATCAATTCAGAACATTTTTTTAGTTATCGTCGGACAACCGATTTTCGAAAAAATTCGAAAATTAAAAAACTAATCGATGAATTAAATTTTAATTAATGGCGATTGATAGGGCTCAACAATACCTATATCTGAAAAAAAGATTCAATTCCATCCGTGTGTATACACTTGCACACACACGTACGGACGAGTTCTAAAAATTGTATTTTCGGATTTTTTGGCTCATACTGAATCGATATAACGAAAAAAATTCAAAACTTGAATTTGAACGCTCACAAAGGTTGCATTCGGAAGCAACAGATAGAAGTTTCAGGGTTCGAAGAAAAAAAGAATGGCTACTATCGCCAGAAAAAATGAACATAACTCAAAATTTAATGAGACATAAAACACCAACTCGTTCACTTCAACGAAAGAAATTCTGAATAGAGTCCAAAAATCCGCAATGTTCAGGAATTCAACGCATGTTTTCACTTTTTGTCAACAAAATGATTCCTGGAGCATGACGAGAGACCCCAATCGTTGTACATTCCCCCATTTCTCGTTTATTACCGTCAATAATTATTTTGAGAACCTCGTTGTTTCGTGGAGGGCTCTCGAGACACTTCCCATACGGCTAGTTTGCTTTTCTGTTATGTCTATACGTATTCCCTCCTATTCCGCGTCTCGCGTCATAAACACCTCCAGCTCGGTGTGTATTCTCCCGATTTTCGGTGTCGAGTGAAAGCAATACATAAATAATTTTTTATTGCGAACGCGAAAAACATTGAAAATATACGGAAATATTCATTTTTCGTGCCGTAGCTATTTTTGCAATTGGTAAGAAAAAAGTTTTTTTCAATTTGTTTTTATGAATGTAAAACTGTTTTTCATCAAGATTTCCCGTAAACTATTCCATTATTCATTTATTGGATTCTTTCGTTTATTCATCTCTCATGATTATTATTTTATTTTTTGGGAGAACTTGAATTCCAGTTTTATAGGGGAGGCGGGGCAAAATGGAACGTTTTGTGATCTTCTCTAATTATCAATATCTTCCTTTATAAATGATATGCCTTTCCTTATTCAAGAATCTGTTTGAACTATTGGAATTCTTTGAAATGATTATTTCTATTTTTCCAATCAATTGTTTATAATAATTCTCATTGCAAAAAGCAATTTTTAGGAAATTTCCAATTATTTTCCTAATAGTTATTTGAAAATTAAAATTCTCAATTATTTTATTATTATCTAAATTCCAATGATAAATGAATGAATTCAATTATTTTAAGGAAAAATTCTCTCAATATTTCTAAAATAATGATTGATGCCGATCACTGCTACATTCCCTCGTATTTCACAGGTTTAATCTCTACCTGGAATTCTTTGAAATGATTATTTCTATTTTTCCAATCAATTGTTTATAATAATTCTGATTGCAAAAAGCAATTTTTAGGAAATTTCCAATTATTTACCTAATAGTTATTTGAAAATTAAAATTCTCAATTATTTTATTATTATCTAAATTCCAATGATAAATGAATGAATTCAATTATTTTAAGGAAAAATTCTCTCAATATTTCTAAAATAATGATTGATGCCGATCACTGCTACATTCCCTCGTATTTCACAGGTTTAATCTCTACCTGGAATTCTTTGAAATGATTATTTCTATTTTTCCAATCAATTGTTTATAATAATTCTCATTGCAAAAAGCAATTTTTAGGAAATTTCCAATTATTTACCTAATAGTTATTTGAAAATTAAAATTCTCAATTATTTTATTATTATCTAAATTCCAATGATAAATGAATGAATTCAATTATTTTAAGGAAAAATTCTCTCAATATTTCTAAAATAATGATTGATGCCGATCACTGCTACATTCCCTCGTATTTCACAGGTTTAATCTCTACCTGGAATTCTTTGAAATGATTATTTCTATTTTTCCAATCAATTGTTTATAATAATTCTCATTGCAAAAAGCAATTTTTAGGAAATTTCCAATTATTTACCTAATAGTTATTTGAAAATTAAAATTCTCAATTATTTTATTATTATCTAAATTCCAATGATAAATGAATGAATTCAATTATTTTAAGGAAAAATTCTCTCAATATTTCTAAAATAATGATTGATGCCGATCACTGCTACATTCCCTCGTATTTCACAGGTTTAATCTCTACCTGAAGCTCTTCATCGTAATGGGAATAAATTGGTCGATGGAGATAATCTCCTGGCTGTTGAACAAGGACACCCCCCAGTACGTGTGGTACCTCACCGACCTCGCCAACACCCTCCAGGGTGTCATAATCTTCATAATCTTCGTTTGGAAGGACAAGATAAGGCGTCTACTCATGAAACGTTTTGGCTGTCAAAAGGGAAAATTTCAATCTGGAAACTCAACTCGGAGTGGCTACCACTCCTCCGCCTCCAACAAGACGTGCACGTCGATCGCTCTTCAGGATAAAATCCCTGGCGAGAGAAATAGGGTCAACACGACAACCGACGAGAGCGACTGCGTCTGAACGATTTCGATCGATTGAATCGGAATTTTGACGATTTTCGATCGATCAGTACGAAAATTTTGACATTTTCTTCGATATCTCGCGAACCGGAAGAGATAGGGGATCCATTCTAGTTTCGTTGAAAAGTTGGGAAAATTTGCGATAAAATACTCTGGTTTTGAGCCCATTTTGCCCCAGAATTCAAGGGAAATGGCGGAAAATTGGTTTTTGCGGCTCAAAATCGTTTTTCACGAATATTGAAAGGAATTAAGGGGTAAAATGGGTTCATGAGCAGTGGGGTACATCGGAAATTTCCCCAGCTTTTCAATGCAAAAAAAATTAAGTCGATATCTTCGTTAGTTCGAGAGATATCGCGGATTTTATCGGACGAATTGACGATTCGATTTTAGATTATCTTATGATTTTCGCAAAAATAATTCATGAGTATTTTTTATGAGCTTTCTGTAATGTAAGATCTATATAGAGGAATAGAGTCAACACGACAACCGACGAGAGCGATTGCGTCTGAACGATTTCGATCGATTGAATCGGAATTTTGATGATTTTCGATCGATCAGTACGAAAATTTGGACATTTTCTTCGATATCTCGCGAACCGGAAGAGATAGGGGAGCCATTCCAGTTTCGTTGAAAAGCTGGGAAAATTTGCGATAAAATACTCTGGTTTTTAATCCATTTTGCCCCAGAATTCAAGGGAAAAGGAGGACAATTGGTTTTTGCGGCTCAAAATCGTTTTTCACGAATGTTGAAAGGAATTAAGGGGCAAAATGGGTTCATGAGCAGTGGGGTACATCGGAAATTTCCCCACCTTTTCAATGCAAAAAAAATTGAGTCGATATCTTCGTTAGTTCGAGAGATATCGCGGATTTTATCGGACGAATTGACGATTCGATTTTAGATCCTGACATCTTCGTATTCATCTTATGATTTTCGCAGAAATAATTCATGAGTATTTTTTATGAGCTTTCTGTAATGTAAGATGTATATTTTCTATACGCAATACTCGACTGCTTTTGATGGCGGGAGTATTTTTGGTGAGAGAGAACGAGAGAGAGCAAAAGTTATTTTTAAGAAATTGCGATTTTTCTACTGAAAGGATAGGGATTCCTTCGTGGGAGGTGGATTCGATTAGCTTTTCTCAATTTTTATTGATTGCTGTGCCTTTATTTTCATATCTGATAGTTCGAGAGCTTCGTAGCTGGGATTGTAATGGAGGGGTCGAGTGGTGAAACGTGCACACGGAGAGAAATATTCAGTAAAAATTACGGAATTCACAGTTCGCTCACCGATTACGGAATCGACTCCGAAAATTTAAGTGACGGTATCGTAATTTTTCACAGGAGAGTCGGGTAAAAATTGCAGAAAGCTCTGGCAAAATTCCGTGATTTTAGGTAAAAATTCCGTGACAGTTCTGTAAAATTTCCTACAACCACATTTCACTCCGGAATTACGGAAAAGATCCGTAATTTTTATTGAATATTTCTTTCCGTGTGATGAGTTGGAATAACGCACAAGTAATGGCCAATAATATTTTGCAGTAAATGCAGTTTTTGACGAGAGAGGTCAGGATTTTGCAAGACGTTGGGGAGAGTGGGGTCGAGTGAACCTTTTTTGATGATCAATTGTCCAATTGATAAATGATAAAATTGGAATGAATTCAATCTTATTTGAGAAAATGCTGAAGAGTTATCCATTTTGACTAATAAATTCTAGACGAAAGTTGATGTGAATAGAAACATTCTGGTTGAGTCTGTGTTTAATGGTCAATTATTTATAGTAATTAATCTGGATGTGCAAGAATAACACAGATTCTTATGAGAAAATTAACTTTCGGAAATTAGGAAAAAGATAAAAATCGAGAAAAAATTTCTAGAAAAAAAAACTGAATTTTTTTATATATATGTGTATGAAAAAACTTATTTCAGTAGCGAAGTGGTAAAACGGTATAAGTCAATTTTGACTACTGACCAGTTTTTAATGAATATCTCGAAATTCAAGGGAGATAGCAAAATTTTTATTACAACCTTTTTTGTAGAGGCGATTGAGAGCTACAACAAATGTAGATACGAAAATTTCGCTATCTCCCTTAGATTCGGAAATATTCCTCAAAAACTCAACTGGGAGATGAGTCGAGTTAAGGCCCGGGTGTACAATCGAATGTTTTTCGAATGTTATCTGGATTTTTTTTCATCTTTCGTAATCCAAAGTTGTCAATTGAGTGGTACATCATGTAGAAGTTCCCAAAAATTATGATAGAATTATAAAAAAAAATAGAAAAAATTCTGAACTTTTTCAAAGAGCGTTTTTAATTGAGATTCAGAATGAGTTGAAAAAAGTGGAAATTACAAATATCTGATTCGCTATGGCAAATTATCTATTAGCTGTCATTTTCCATGGTGGATAACAAAACACTAACTCCTCATGGGAAGTGACAGCTAGGTATCTCAATTTTCAAAACAGTGGTATGTAGTCATCTGCCATTTTTATGTGATAAAAGTGTGATTAAAAAATTCTCCAAAATATTACAACTTTTTTCAAAGAGCCTTTTCCGTAATAAATGTCTCTGTGCAGTGTGGGAAAAGATTTACGAAATCAGTCTTCCCCCTGCATGATATTGGGTGACAGTCCGCCATTTGTCACCGTAAATCAGATACATTTTTCCATTTCTTGTTATTTAACTTATTCTGAATATAAAGTAAAAATGCTCAGATGACGAAAGATGAAAAAAAACATCAAGATAACTGATTTATTCCAGAATAAAATAGATTCATCCAATTTTATCCTTTTCCAAAAAAACAAAAAAATCGAATTGTCTCGAGTCCGTTACGTTTCACCACTTGACCATCAAATGAATTTTTTACCTCGTAAGCGTGAATGATTGAGTGTTTACCAATTGGAGTCAGATGAATGCATACAACCAACGAATCTTCTAGTCATACTTGAACATTTATGGAGCAACAGAACCATTTTAATGCTTTGAAAAATCACGATTAATCCAGCATTGGTGATTAGTCGACATTTTCTAGATTCTCATTTAATCCGTAAAGTACAAAATTCCGTGGAAAATTTCACCATTTTTTTCCTCTTGCTGTCAAATATCCTAGATTTATGTGAAATGTATTGATAAGGAACAAGATAATCAGAAATAAAGCAATTGCCAACTGATTGCTGCAATAAAATGATGTCATATTTTTTGGTGTTGAATTTCTCGATTTTTTTTTCTTACCATTGACTGGCTGAGCGGAAAAATCCTAAAAAATTGGAATGCGTCAATTCAAGTGTCTCGAAAATTATAATATTTTTAAAAATTATTTATATCCACAATTCCTGAAGAAAAAAAATTATTTCTAACAGACGGGCAATTTTTTCCCATGTTAAATGAAATTGCCCGTTGTGCGACGTTGCCGAAGTCTCGCTAAACGCGCCAGGCCAATATAGAGTGAATTCGGCAACGCTCGGCCTAAATAACACGGCGGCGATTCCCTGCGGAGGTGACCAAAGTCGCAAGTTCTCATATGGTGACCAAACTAGGGTTAATCGAGATTTAGTCAGAGTTTAACCGAGATTTAATCAGAGTTTAGTCAGAACTCAATCCAATGTTATCCCGGGTTTAGCAATGAGCTAGTCGGGACCACAAATCATTATGAATAGGGGAGGTTGGGGTAAAACGAACACTTTTGACTTTTTTTTTAAATGTCAATGAGGGGTTGAAATGTTGATAAAATTTAATAATTTTTTTTTGAATGCAAAGACCAATTCTTTCCCTTTCTGACGAGCCTATACTGAGCACAATTGATCAATTTGTTTCTGAGTTATGAATAATTTTTAAAAAGTCTAAAGTGTCCGTTTTACCCCACCCTCCCCTAAGTATCCAACATAATAGGCAATTATATTGTTGATCACTCACGTGATTTCCTAGGACTTGCACATGTCCTTATCTCCTGGGAACACTCACTGGTGCCGGTAGATAAGAAGCTGTCGACGTGCAGCTGCAGTTTCATGCTCCAGCAGCTTCATTAGTCCAAGAGACGCTGTGAAATCAACATCTTTCACCCTTTCTTCATCAGTATTTCATTGACATGTGTATTGGAAGAATTATTGTAGTGATTATCTGTATCGAGTGCTTCTGCGGCTCTTCCCATGGCATTGTAAGGATCATTGTGACGAAGTGGTAAAATATTATTGTTATCTTGCCCCAAAAAATTAAAAATTTCGGAATTGAGAAATACAATACAGTAGAGGCTTCGTGCAAGATACCTCTCTATAAGATACCTCGCGCTCCGAGCGCTCGAGGCCTACCCCCACTCTCGGCACTTTTATCGCCTCCCGAATGTTTGTGTTCCGTGGGCTTCTTATAAGATACCTATGGCCCCGGTCATTTTTCAACGGGAAGAGAGTAGTTGTAAGGATCAAACGGGAGGGACGAACGAAGTGATCATAAGGGTCTAATGACCTTAAGGGTGCCAAGTGAATTTGAAAAAAGATTCAAAAAAATTTTTTTCTTTCCCTCCATCATTGGAGAAATATGTATTCATCCATCCGACGAAATTTCAAACCCGCAACCGGAACTAGACCTCGAGAAAATAAATGCGGGAAATCCTGTATTTCGCGTGACGAACCTCGAGAAAGCATGGGATCAAATGGGTACGGCGGGTTGAGATATCTTCTTATTCACCCCGGTACCCCATTGTTTTTTGTGGCCATCACATTGAACACATCATTCCCCATATCTTCAAATTTTTTCAAATTTTTCTTGAGTTCCCAGGGGATTGAAACGTTCAATTTAATCAAAACTCCATAAGAGGCCGTGTATACGACTGATTTTGTTTATTTAATTTCTCGATATCCATAAGTTCTAAAAATCCAGTCGTACAGCCGGCCGATTGCAGGATCTGTCACACTGACTAGATGAGCACAGTAGTTCTCGACATTCGCGCCTGGCGGCAGCAGCTCCACCCGAGTAAGTACCTCGCGTTCCGAGCGCTCGAGGCCTGCCCCCACTCTCGGCACTTTTATCGCCTCCCGAGTGTTTATGTTCCGTGGGCTTCTTATAAGATACCTATGGCCCCGGTCATTTTTCAACGGGAAGAGAGTAGTTGTAAGGATCAAACGGGAGGGACGAACGAAGTGATCATAAGGGTCTAATGACCTTAAGGGTGCCAAGTGAATTTGAAAAAAGATTCAAAAAAAATTTTTTCTTTCCCTCCATCATTGGAGAAATATGTATTCATCCATCCGACGAAATTTCAAACCCGCAACCGGAACTAGACATCGAGAAAATANGTTTTCCCATCGAAAAATCGTAATTTTTCGTCTGTGATTATTCTCGATTCCACCAACAATCCCCCAACATCAGCTGCCATTCTATCACGCGGGGTTATGTTTAGAGGGAAAAGGGAATGCGGGCGATACAAATTCAAAACATTAAACACATAAATTGATTAGTTATCGATATTCATTCAGTAAAAATGAAAATTTCATTGAGTTCGGGCGCAACGAGTGAGGTATCTTATTTGAAACGCGCTGATCCCTATTTTTCTCCTCTCTATGGGCGCGCGTAGTGGGGGCATAAGGATTCCCGGAATTCCACTCTCCTACTGTCCCTAAGGTATCTTATANGTTGAGATATCTTCTTATTCACCCCGGTACCCCATTGTTTTTTGTGGCCATCACATTGAACACATCATTCCCCATATCTTCAAATTTTTTCAAATTTTTCTTGAGTTCCCAGGGGATTGAAACGTTCAATTTAATCAAAACTCCATAAGAGGCCGTGTATACGACTGATTTTGTTTATTTAATTTCTCGATATCCATAAGTTCTAAAAATCCAGTCGTACAGCCGGCCGATTGCAGGATCTGTCACACTGACTAGATGAGCACAGTAGTTCTCGACATTCGCGCCTGGCGGCAGCAGCTCCACCCGAGTAAGTACCTCGCGTTCCGAGCGCTCGAGGCCTGCCCCCACTCTCGGCACTTTTATCGCCTCCCGAATGTTTATGTTCCGTGGGCTTCTTATAAGATACCTATGGCCCCGGTCATTTTTCAACGGGAAGAGAGTAGTTGTAAGGATCAAACGGTGTTAAGGGTCAAACGGGAGGGACGGACGAAGTGATCATGAGGGTCTAATGATCTTAAGGGGGGGTCACACCACTTTTTTCAAGTAATGGAAATATACATCGATTTTTTTTCGTTTTCCCATCGAAAAATCGTAATTTTTCGTCTGTGATTATTCTCGATTCCACCAACAATCCCCCAACATCAGCTGCCATTCTATCACGCGGGGTTATGTTTAGAGGGAAAAGGGAATGCGGGCGATACAAATTCAAAACATTAAACACATAAATTGATTAGTTATCGATATTCATTC